TGCTCTCTGTCAAGAATAAAGAAATCAGGTAACATAAGAAGAACTAAACCAAGTGTTCTTATATGTACTAAAGAGGTTGTTTCAGCTGAAATGAAGGTGGGAAGCTAATTATAATTTTTTGGAAGACGAATGGGTTTTAAAAAGGGGGTGGAAGGAAAAAAAAAGAACTACACTAGAAAACATTACTAATTAAAATTACAATTAAAACTGCATTTATACCAATAAATGGTTTAAAAACCATATAGCTGCTCATGTTAGACACGACTATGGATGGCTCACAGCAATAATAATACAATCTAAATCATAAAAAAACCCAAAAAACTAAAGTAAAACTAAAATCTAAAAAGAAATCCCAGTTATGTCTGCATTTTGGATATCTAATCTGAAAGCAGAAAGCAATGTGTTGAATAGCCCTTTATTTGAATTTTGCAATGCAGTTTCATCCTTCAGAAATGTGTCTACTTCTTAGCTTCTACTTCTCTTTTTAGGGGAAATATTCTGCCTTTTTAATATTTCTTAGGATATTTCATTTTTCTAGGGGTGGGTGCTAACTTCCTATAGTATCAAGGGATTGTATAGTATATTTTGTCCTTCTGAAAGAAGTGTTGAATATCTGGAAAAAATGGATCTATAGATAGAAATACATTACCTGTACTAAATAAATTAGTCTCATATATATTAGGATTCTCATCTTCTATCTCTGTAGACAAACTTCCAATAAGAAGGAAAAGATACTAAGGCCTAAGAGTTCAGCCTAAGGGAAGAGTTAAAGCTTACATTTTTAAAAAAGTCACCATTGGGATCAAGTGTTATCTTTTGACTGCTCTAGAAAAGCAAACATAGAGTTTCATAAAATAATTTCTATCTTCCTGGGCTCATTTCCTCAACCGGTGGTAACAGTGACATTCCACACTTGGGTTGACTGAACTTTTCTTAATGTGTATTATGCTATAAAAAAATTTAATAGCACTTTTTCTCAAATTTGGACACATTAAGACATATGGACTTCAACTCCCAGAATTCCTCAGCCAGCATATTGAGGCCAACATATCTTAAACTGATCAAGGATGAAAAACATTGATTTATAGCATGGAGACATATCGGTGTGCTTCTTTTATAATTTGTTGCATTTCTGCATTAGATGTTCTATATGTATAGAACATTTCTCTGAATCTACATTTTATGCTCACTTTCCTTAGGAAAGGTAAGTTTCTATGTACATAACAGCTGCAAGAACTATTGCCAGGTTTCCTCCCCCACCCCCCAAAAAAAGGGTTTTGCATATCCAAGATTCAAAGTTCTCCTCGGACATGATTATACTTGAGTAAGCTTCCTTGTAAAATGGCATCATATGAGCCATATCACTGGAAATAGAAACTAGGGGTCTTTGTGTCAGAAAAGGGGTTACAGTTCAGATCACATATAGGCATTTAGCCAGGGCCAATCCTCAACGTAAATGAAGCAATTTTGATCAGAGATCAATTTGTAGACCAGAGTCAGGCAAGCTTTTGATAGCCACATTTGGAAGCATTGCTAAATTGGGAGGGTCTAAAGCATGGGGTTTTTTTAAATGTCACGGTGATTGTACAGTGACTCAAAATAAATACAGCCCTTTGTTAATAGTTTCATTGTGTAGTTGTAGTCACTTTCTTTCATTTTTACCCCACCCCTGCAGGGACCCTCTGCTTATGCAATTAATGGCAGCAAAATTTCTCCAGTATCACTGCCGACCCAACTCAAAACAAACCATCCACTGGATCTTTCTGAAAGTATATACAAATTATAAAATCCTTCCATTAATTTACAGGGATGATTAGCTTGTGGCTTCAGGGAAAAATGCAAACCAAATTCTGTTTTTGTGGCCAAGTCGGAGGTGGTATTCAGCAAGTTCTGACCAGTTCTGGAGAACCGGTAGCGGAAATTTTGAATAGTTCGGAGAACCAGCAAATACCACCCCTGACTGGAGATTTTATACTATCCTTCCCTGCCATGCCCAAGCCACACCCACAGAACTGGTAGTAAAAAATTTTGAATCCCACCACTGGCCAAGTTCCTTCTAGTCATTATTACTTAAAAGTTCACAGTGCAGTTTCTTATTATTTCAGGGTGAAGCCTTAAAACTGGCATTTATTGCAACTGAACAAACAAAATCCCTCCCTACTTCTCCCCCATTTGCCTTACTTGGTGACACTGAGCCCCCGCTCCGCATTTCAAGTTAACTGGCCACTGAGAGTTTGCATCTCTACTCTAAATGAATCACTGTCCTTTCCCTGTTAAGCTTGATGCCACATTTAAGTTTGCATTGGATAGACTTCAATATTGCCTGGGCAAAATCCACTATTATTAATTATAATCGCATAAAGGAGACAGTCCTAAGAATACTCGCAATCAAGAGAACCTTTGCCCTTGACTTGGGAGACAGACGCCTCTGCGTGTCTCACTTTTAATTGCTACTCTGGTGCCAAGCACCTAACAAAGAGCAACTTAAAACCCCCAACAACTATGAACAGAAAGCATTTTGTCTCTGGGTTCCACCCCCAGGAACAGATTGGGTTAGCAGGTGAAATCAGCCTCCCTTTACAAGCAGTGACTCAGGTACAGCCATCTCTTCCAGCTTCAGCATGAAGAGCGCCCTTGTCACTTTTGTGCTGTTTTACGGCATCAGTTATAATAATAAGATTATTGTTTAGTTGCGTGCAAAGCTCTCCTTGGCTATTCTTGTTCCTGCCTCCTCCCTAGAAACCACAACCACACTGTGCTGCACCTTTCCTCCACCAACCCCCCCTCCCCCCACCTTATGAGTAAACATCAAGTAGCCACATGAGGTCCCTTGAGGAAGAAGTTCCACCTCGGCCCAGAGAGAGCCATGCAGGTAAAAGCAGACAGAGTTTTCTGGCCCTGAAAGACTTCCTCACTGACTCAGCAGCAACAAGAGAGCAAAGAGGACAGGAAACAGTGCGGAAAGGCACTTCAACAGGCTAGCTGCAACCCTTTTCTTTGCTCATTTCTGGCCAGGTTTTTTAACCAAGAAGCAGGATGGAATGTTGGTCTACGAATGCTGGGCTAGAAGTTATTCCCTATGTTGCTTCTAGAGCAAATCTCATTCTTTTCATCTTTGTGAAGTCGTACCTGGTTCCTCAGGCACATCCACACCTTCTGGTAGTTAAAGTACAAGGTAGTAGCAAGAAAGCAAGCAACCTCAGGGTTTTCTCCTGATTTTATCTCTGGCTTTAAGAGCTGGGGTTCGGGGAATATGCCACCCCATTGAAACACACTAATAACCGAGATCAGCTGGAAGTCTAGGAAGAACATTTCATTAATTATTACTTTGTAACACAGCCAGGCAATTAGTACCTCCAGATCATGACCTCAAAATTCCACAGCAAAATGGTCAAATGTTAATGTTGTGAAGAGAAGCAAAGTGGTTCCCTCAAACTTCCTTTCTCACTTTTACCTTTAATTCCCCCCAAACCCCAAGAAGAAATGTGTGTGTGTGGGGGGGGGGGGGGGAATCAGCCAGAGCTCTTCGACCATCTTCCAAATATCACTGCATCACTGGATGATCTCCAACCCTCCAGGAGTTGCTTTATTTAGAAATTCCTAAGCATTTCTCTATAACTTATCAACAGAAATAAAAACACATGGTCCCAGAAAGCCTTCTGTATTAATGAAGTTCTGCAAAACAACCATGACAGGACAGATAGCCCAGATTTCTAGATCCCTAGAGACTTAACCTTCCCTAAGACTAACACTCCTGATGGTAAATTGCTTTTAACTTGATATGAAAGAACAAATTGAGCGCACCAGATGTCACAGACATGAGAGGCAAAGGGTGGAACTGATAGAATTTTTTTTCCCACTGGCTTTTTGTTTGCACCTCAAGGTAGAATAAGGAATATAGTAACATCTGTCATGGGTCTCTAAGGGAACGAAGGACCAGATGTTTTCTGGTGCCAGAAATGCAGACTTTTAATAGGAATGGTTCATTCTTCAATGTATCCTGTATTGATTGGAAGGCAGACTGGGTGATATTTCAAGCAGTTATATTACAAATGCTAATAAACAATAAGAATGGGTAGAATCAGCTTGATTCATTGATTAAATGGATATCGGCTTATGTTTTGATAATAACAATATCATCTACCAAATGCAGCATGCAGAGACATCAAAGGTCTGATAAACTGGAATTCATTTTAGTCCGAATAGTAATATATGTAAAAGGTTGCTGAAGAATCTGGTAAGTCAGAAAAAAAGTGGGAGGAAATAGAAGAATAAAGAATTGGTCCATTACACCCACACACATAATTGATCCATTTTAATTCAGAATTTTTAAAAAAATCAAGTACAAACATAATTCTGTATTGGTTTTTATGCACAGTAACAAACCCCTTTCTGAAAATGAAGAAACAATTCTGTATAATTTAATTTTGTTCATGAATCCCTGCTAGTTAATGGAAGTTGCATGGCTCTTAGAAAGCTTTACTTAGAGCAGGGTTCTCCAACCTTGGCAACTTTAAGACTTGTGGACTTCAACTCCCAGAATTCCTCAGCCA